TCCCTGATGGTAACATCCTGTGTAGGTACAAAACTTTGGTGTGGCTCTTAGTGCATGATGCTAAGCTATTTAAACTGCATAGGCTCTGGAGAGGGGAAACTTTATTTGCTATCATCTGTAACATCCAAGAAGAGCAGAGCAAAGGCATCCAATTCACGTCTGCTTCTTGATTTGAATGTTTTCAAGAATGTGTTCTGTTCCTTGAACTTGAATGCATTCTAGAAACTAGAACATGCTAGTCCAAATGTATATTTTCTAATACATCAGCACTTCCCCCATAAAGGCAAATTTTAATCCATTTTAACATATTTTTCAAAATTTATTATTACCATAATTGTGTTTTTGGATCAGAACATAGAATCAGTGTGTCTTTTCCCACTTACTGGCAATTAGCATACAGCTTCCAAACAGAGTCCTTTAGATCCAGTGGAGTACTGTGTCCTAACCACAGATGGACAATGCTTCCATGGAGGCCAAAGACGACTTTAGGAAGAAGGAGGAAAAAGTACTATGCAATGAGAAGACGTGAACAGTGGTGAGATTAGCTTATTCTTTCCTCAATGTAGAACTTTGGTAAATTACCCTCTTGGGTCATAGTTTCTCTTTCTGTGATTATGAGAGTAATAGTGCCTAGCTAATATAATAATTATACAAATTAAATGAATTAATGAATATGAATCTTTTAACTCAATTTCTGGCACAAAGTCAGTCCCAACACAGGGATGCTGATAGGCATTCAGGCTTCTGTTAGAGAAGTAAAATGAACATGTCTCGATTCATTTTGGTTTGTGGCCAAGCCAGCCCCTTGCTCCAGTCCCCATACTTTTTGTGCTTCACTATTTTGACCTTATCTTTCTACGGAAGGACAGTTTCTCCTATGCACTGCTGTAGACTCTGCATAATCTCAGAGCCACTGAGCTTTCTGCAGCTTCACCATCTGAGAGCACATTGCTTTCCCCTTGTGTGCATTCACCTAGTCTGTGGTGAGGCTCCCAATAGAACAACTAACCTGGTATGATGCAGGCAAGAATGGATTTCAGGCTAAAGGTATCCTGGGATGAGAGAGAAAGGTCTGATAGGCAGATAACCAACTGTACTTGTGATTATTGCCCACATCATTTACATTTCATTATGGAATGAAGTTTCTTCAGAACCTAACAGTCTGTATACATCTAAAAATTCTCACTGCATTTCAGTGGCATTGATGAAAAGTGTTACTATTGAAATTATGAAAGAGTCAGCATTTGTAGAATTTAGAAGTCAGTGACTTCTCCCATTTTAGAGGGAATTAATGTATATTTGAAGACTATTCAAACACAGATATTTTCATTATGATTCTCCATTAATGTCCAGCTTTATTCATTGAAATCATTGGTGCATATACATGAATGTTTTATGCATAGTTGTAAAAACTGTTAATCAAATTTATAAAATTTGTTCTTTTTAACCTGATCAGTGTCCTATGGATGGGCAAGCATTATGTTTTCCCTGAACAGGGTCAAATTTTAATGTCAAAATAAAGGAAAAGTTACTGTATTTTTTCAGAAAAAAAAATTTGTTATCTTTTAGGATCCTTCCACTGTTATATTTTAAATTTTGGGGTTTTTTCCACATGATTTTCACTTGACACCAATTTTTTGATGGATTGTTTTAGGTATACTTTTCTGAGAAAACAGCAAAAAGCTTGCACTCATCTCTACAACATGACTCTCATTAGTGTTATGCAAAAGCCTAGACTGCAGATAAGACTTTTTATTCCCATAATCACTAAATGAAGTGTTTTTTTTTCTTTTTTCAAGATGATTGTATGGTAGCATTAGTGTTGGAAAGCTGAATCTGAAACAGTGAATGTTGAAATTCAAGGAACACTGACTCTTAGCTAGCTGTACTAACTAGGCTTCTGATGCTGGCACCACAGACTTCTCTTTGGTTCCTACTTTAATGGTGCAGACACGGATAGAGGAGGCCCCGCTTGTTTACATATGCATACTGTTCTTCTGGCAGACAGGATTCTAAAGCTTCTCAAATACAAAGAAGAAATAAATCTCTGTGAAGTTTTAACTTTTCAAGGTTAAACTCTCTCATGTTTGGACTAATAAATCACACAGTGTCCATGTTCCCATTAAGCAGCAACCAATGCTATCAAAGTTGATAAGGGCAAGACACCAGTCTGAGGACTAACATTTGTTACATCAAAAGTTTGGTGCTTAAGGGTTGGATCTTCCTCAAGAAGACTTCTTGTAGCACAGTAACGTGAGTCAGTACCCTTTAAAATGGACAGGCTTCAGGAGAGTAAGCAGACCCATTTGGCCAGAGGAGAGGGCTCAGAGAAGGCCATTTGTGAAGGACTTATCTTTTCCCCTCGTTACATTTAGGTTCACTTGATATTGTGTATTCTGTGGATTTTGACTGATATGTGAAGGTATCTATTTTCTACATTGCCCTAAAGCCATCCTGTGCTCCATTTAAGATGAGGCATATCTCACTTATAAGGAACTTTATCCAACATTATGCGGATCTATTACCTGAAGAACTTCATTCAAAAATATGAATACTAATGAGAAGACTATCTAGGTAATGTAGATCATGATTAGATGGCTATACACTTCTAGTCTATCACTGGTTGCCTATGAAGTGACTTTGTGCTAACAGTTTTTTGTTTTGTTTTGTTTTGTTTTTAACCCCTCTCCTTTGGGGCCTCACCCATCTTCTTCTCCACTTTCCTTTTTTGTGGTATTAAAATCTAACCCCACACTTTGGATCTGTAGGGCAGACAGATCTACTATGCTACATAGGAAGGTGTTATTTTCTTTCATGTATTTTTTTTAGTTTAGTGTGCTATCCATTAAATAAGAAAATACATTCCTAATGACGAGGAGGGGACATGTACAGCACTTATGTAGGTTAATATTTTAACACACATTCTCTTTGTCTTCAATTTTGTGTGTGTATTATTTTTACTTTTAAAATGAGGCATATTATTTTATGATTTCTTTTCAAAAATCAAAACATTAGTAAGAAAATTCTTTGCAATTCAGTTACGGCCAACAATCTATTTTTAGATGACTATATGATATTCCATTTTTTTCTTCTGTAGTTTTGTTATTATTTTAGGGATTACAATGATGTAACTAAAATATTTAGATACTGTTTATTTTAAAATTACTCATTAATGCACAGGGAAGAACATAACAAGGTGATGCTATTTAGTAAAAATACCTCTGGACTGGATCAGGAATCTTCCTTTTGTCCAACCTATTCTTTTGCTCCATTTGATTATCTAATATTGAGTAACTAATCTTTTTATAAATCTGATTTCCTACTTTATAGTTCCTCCCTTCCTTTTTCTTTTTTTCATCCTTACCATTCTCTTTTTATTATTTTTGACACATGTTCTTATGTAGCCCAGACTGGCTTCAAACTCTCTGTGTAACTGAAAATGATTTTGAACTTTAGATTATCCTGACTCTGCCTCCCAAGTACTAGGATTATAGGTGTGCACCACCAAGCCAAGCTTATGGGATGCTGGGTATTCGACCCATGGATTCATGCACACTAGGAAACCACTCTAGGAAGTGAGCCACAAGCCCGATTTGTTCTGTTGTTCTGCTATTGAATCTTCTATGGCATCATAGCAAATCCATGGCACAGCTGAGACTCTGTGAGGATCTATAACAACTGTCGCTTATTATTAGCTCTGTCAATGTATGCTGCACAACTGATGTCTTGTCCAGCCCCTATTGCCTAGATGACCATTTACATGTAGCCACGAATTTGTTGTCGCTGTTTGCTAAGTTACGGACATTGACTAAAGTGACGTAACTAAGTTGGTGTTAGGTAAAAGGCTCCAGAGTGAACTTGCAGTGTTGAAATATGCAAGGAGTGTGAATGAAGAGAAAAACAATCATACTCACTAAGAAAAAGCTACAGAGCAATGGCAGAGAAAATTATTTTAATATGACTCTAAGGAGATGTCCAAAGTTCCCATTGATTCACAGAAAGATAAAAGTGCAACACTTTGGAATAGCGCACTGGGGTAACACTATTCCACACAATGCAATTCAGATGTCAGGGTGAGATAGGAGAGTTTGACTTCATCATTCAAGATACAAGGCTGGAAAAACTAAAGAGCTTTTTTGACGTGTAAAGACTCATACCTGTATCTGCCTGACCAGGATGATATTAGGCTTTCTGTATATATTGCCTAAAAAAGGTTAATGCATCTGCAGAAGATATGAAAAGAAATCTCTTTGGAAATACCTGTATTGCTCAAGTTGTTTTCAAGTCAAGAAGGGAGATGGATTAGGCAAAGCATGTGACGATGTGATTGCTAAACTCTGGCATGTTGCTGGGGTTACAAGTATGAGCCCACACACCTGGCTGGGTTTTTTTTGGGGGGGGTATCCATTTTTAATATATTTTATTTTATTTAAATAACATTTTTCATTTATTTTATATACCAACAGCAGTAGTTTTCCCTCCTTCTGCTCCTCCTGGTCCTCCCCACCCCACCCCTGCTTCCCATCCTCCCCCTCCCCTCCCACTCCTCCTCTGTCTCCATTCATAAAGGGGCAGTCCTCCCATGGGCTTAAACAAAGCCTGGCAGATCAAGTTGAGGCAGGACTGAGTTCCTGTCCTTGAGTCAAGAGTGGGTGAGGTAATCCAGCATGGGGAACGGGATCCCTAAAGCCAGCTAAGCACCAGAGACAGGTCCTGGTCTCATGCCTGGCTTTTTAAAATGTAGCTTCTTGGGACCAAATTAAAGTCTTTATGCTTGCAGAACATGAACTTTGTGGACTCAGTATTTCCTCCATGCATAGCAGTCAACATTCACCAAAAGTTGTTCTTTTATGTTTTGTTTTTGCTCCCTCTTTTAGTTTCCAGGATGAGATAGGCTTTTATTTTATTTATTTTTTTGGTGGGCTTTACTTTACCTTGAGTTACTTGATGATCTCTGTTGTTTTATCAGTGTATCTGACACCCGCTTTCTGAGTTTACAGAATCATAGTGGACGATGTGGTGGATTGGCAGCCCCATGACAAAATAGTCCTCAGCTCTTCTTCGTATGAACCTCATGAGGCAGAGGTCCTCACAATAAAGGAGGTCAAGGGCCATCATATCAGGGTCTGTGAACGCCTCAGACACCGGCACATTGGTAAGTGCTTGGCTTTGCTGGTTAATGAAATGGATGGGCCATGAAGGACCTGCTTGGCAGCCTGCCCAGGCTTATTGCACTTGCTTGGTATTAAGAGTGGAAGCAGGCTACCTGATGATGCCCTGCATTTGTCCTAGAAACTTTTCTCAATTTTCTTCCCTTTCCCTCTCCTCCCTCCCCTTCTCCTTCCTTCCCCTCCCCTTTCCTCTCCTCTTCTCTCCTCCTTTCTTCTTTCTGCCTTTTAGTATTTTTGTTTGTTTGTTTGAGACAGGGTGTGACTAATCAATCCAAGCTTGCATCTCAAACTCATTCTCCTATTTTAACTCTCCAGAGCAAAACTTATAAGCATATATGACACATACCTTCTTGCCTGGTTAAGTATTAATTTTTAACTTTATTAATTTATATATTGAACAGGTTCCTGGGTGTAAATTCTACATATAAATAATACCCATCAAAGAAAACCACCCTCCTGTGTCATGTATGAAATACACTTAACTCAGGAGCTTTAACTGATGAAACATGCAAAATAAGTGGGTCAGAGAATTATTATTATTATTTTATCTGATATGTGAGAGGGGAGTATAAATCTTCACCAAAAGTGTCTAAAGTCTTTCTAAGTTAGGGTTTTAGGGGAAATGCCTCCTCTTCTCCTTTCTATTTTTGCTGAGATGGGATTTTTCTGTATTACTTAGGCTGGTCTTGAAATCCTGGGATTAGTCATTCTCCTGCCTCAGTCTCCAATTAACTAGTACTATAGGCATGGGTAACTATGTCAAGCTTTATTTTCTGTTTAAAAAGCATAGGATAGAAAAGAGACATCTTTATTAGCCCTGGCCAGCTAGAGCCACCATGAAATGTCAGTCGAAATAGGGAAACAAGCTTCTCCAATATCCCTGCTCACATAGGTGGTCCAGGGTGTAGATGATAGAAGTCCATCAGCAGATGGGGTTACTGTGCTTTGCATCATCCCCTTTTAGTCCTTCACTGTCTGACATTGATGTTTACTCTATCACCGCCTCATCTGACCTGGGCATCTTTACTCCCATGATGGAAGTATATGGACAATGTGCAGTCAGATGCCACAGACTCACACGGATGCATAAAAGAAAGGAGGTTGGGAAATCCTACTAATTGAACAAATCTGTGAACCAGTGGCCCATCCTAGTCCCCAGAGTTATTGAGAAGAAATGAATTATTGCTCACACATTCTCTTTGATCCCAAAGAGGAGCAAGTGAACAGGTTTTTCATTTCTTTGCTGACTTCTGTGGAGTGTGCCTGAGGAAAGGCTGGCTTTCATGTTGGAAGGACTTCTAACAGGAATGGAAATTTTCATTTGTGAGGTACCGTAGGGTCCCCAGTTGGCGATTTCCAAGACAACCAGGTAAAAGTTGTCCTCCCCTGTCGCCGCCACTTCTGTTTCTCTAGGAAGTGCCCACATCATGGAGGATGGTCAACACATTCCTCTGGCTGCCGAGGTTGGACTGTTGACAAGGAACATTAAAATTCAGTCTGACTCATCATGTAGAGGGAGACTCCTTGTGGGGTCCTTCAGGAAGTCTAGCAGAGAAGAGTTTTCTGGTAAGTGAAATGAAATTTTCAGTTAATAAGCATTACCATCCAGCTACTAAGTAATTCTGAACCACTCATCTGGGACACTCAGAAACTTCAACTGTGAGAATTTTCACTTGTAATACAAAATGACCAAATTAGGTGGCTTCTTTGTGCTCCAGGAAGCTATGAATTTTCAGCCCCAATCTTTGCTAAATTAGCAGTGTGAAGTTAAATAATATACTAGAGATCAGTGCATAGGCACCTTTTAACCTCAAAGAAAACACCTTTCCTCAGCTTGGAAATTAGATGACTTTAAAACTATGTGAATTTTATCACTTGCCTGATTTTCTCTTACTTTCCCCCAGTAGTATGCAATATCTAATGAACCATGCTACAAGTAGTAACTATAATTTAAATACAAATCATTTCCATATTTTAAAGTACTTTAAAATCAATTCAATCATTTTCAAAGACCAATGAAGTCTTTTTTTTTTGTTTTTTACATTTATGCTTCAGTTCTTTTAGAATCTTGCAAAATTCTTTGATGATCTCATTTATTAAACGTTCTGGCTGCAGTCTTACAAAGTTCTTCCTGATCAAGTAGTTTGGGAAATGTCAGTATAGCTACATCTTTGAAAGACACTGTGTATCCATCCTTAAGGCTCTGAATTTATTTATAAAATTATCTGCTTTGATTCTTAGAAATTTCCTTTAATACTTCTTGGAGTGCACCTCAACTGCTGGTTAATTCTATTTTCTTTTACCTAAAAATGTCAGGTTTTCATTTACTACTCATTGAAGGATATTTGTTTCTTAACATTTGTTATTAGAAAATGCCTGAATATATCTAAAATGATTCTTTTAAGCTTTGGTTTGTATAGCTAAAGGTTTCCATAACTCTATTTTTTCTATGAGGAGTTTATTCTGCAAGATAAAATGAGGATGTAACACACGCGATGAACACAGGAGACAGAAGAAAGTTCTCACACAGTTGAAAATTTCCTCATTTTATGTGGAGGACATCATTTTTATTCTAAGATGGAAGTTATAGATATCTATTATTTATTTGTGCACCTCTTAAATCTGATCATAGAAGTTTCTCTGTGCAGTGGGAAGTTAACACAGAAACTCACAACTGTGTAGGTTAAGTGTCTGGCAAGTGTTTATCCAAAAGTAGTACATCAATATCATCTCTGTCTTAAGGTTTCTACTTTTGTGAAGAGACACCATGAGCACAGCAACTCTTATAAAGGAAAGCCTTTAACTTTCTGGCTCAGTTACAGTTTAGACATTCAGTACATCATCATGGTGGGATATGATGGCATGCAGGAAGACATGGTACTGGAGAGGTAGCTGAGAGTTCTCTATCTGGCAGGCAACAGAAAGTGAACTGTCTCACAAGGCATGACTTACACATATATGAGTCCTCAAAGCCTGCCTCCACAGCAACACAGTTCCTCCAGTAAGACCACACCAACTCCAATAGGCCCACACCCCTCATTAGTGCCTCTACCTTTGGCGCCCATTTTCTTTCAAACCACCAAAACCCACAATCACTCCAAGGCTTAGTGACCATTGCAGAAGAAGGAGTAGAAAGACTGTAAGGGCCAGAGATGGGGAAAGACCAGACCAAAACTGTGTCTTTGAGGCATGACAAGACCACCACACTCAAGAACTCCTAGTGGCTGTGGTTGTCTGTACAAGACCTACACAAGATCAATCAAGTCACTATTCCAGAATAAAAAGTGTGGAAATATAGTGTTGCTAAGATTAAAATATGGAAAAGATTATATGGAGGTCCTTTCTTTATGTTTACTCCTGAGGATTGATCTTAAGGTATCTAGATTCAGTCTCCTAACAAATGCAAAGAATATGTAAACCAGTTGTGTACCTCCTCAAGGCCATTCCCTCCCTCATTTCTCTTTTTTTACTTCTTAAAGTCCAGACAGCACACGGTTGTTTGTAGACAAGAAAGTGATATTTCCAGTGATTCATTTTTTTATTAGTGAGAATTTATGGTGTGATATACAGTTCTTGTGATTACATTTCACGCAAATGTCTGCATATTCTGCTGCCCCAAAATAAAGGCCTTCAATATTTTGGGGAAAAAAGAAAGGACCTAATCTGAATATGTACATTTTCTTTGTAGGTGTTCTTCAACTTCTAAATGTAGAAATTCAGAACTTGGGGTCACCATTGTATTCATCCATTGAATTCATGGGTGTGTCAGCTGGATCCTGGGTAATATCTTCTACTGTACATCAAAGCTGCGGTGTGGGCATCCATGCATCTGCCAGTCATGGGATGGTTTTAAATGACAATGTAGTGTTTGGCACCAGTGGCCATGGCATTGATCTGGAGGGTCAGAACTACTCTCTCACTAATAATCTTGTCATCCTGACGATGCAGTCAGCAAGGTCATCTCCTTGGGTGGCAGGAATCAAAGTGAACTATGCAAAGGATATCATTCTCCATGGCAATGTGGTGGCAGGATCAGAAAGACTTGGCTTTCACATATGTGGCCATGGGTGCTCCTCTGACGTACTTTGGTCTGACAATGTAGTTCACTCAAGCCTCCATGGCCTTCACCTCTACAAGAAACATGAACCTGCCAACTGTACTGGTGTCTCTGGATTTCTGGCTTTTAAGAACTTTGATTATGGTGCCATGGTACAGACAGAGAATAGTGTGGTCCTGCAGAATATCACTCTGGTCGACAATACTATTGGTCTTTTGGCAGTGGCATATGTATCTTCTGCTCCCCTGAGCTCCATCCAAGCTGTGCAGATTGTGCTTAGGAATTCAGTCATTGTGGCCACTAGTTCCTCTTTTGACTGCATTCAAGACAGAAGGGCACCACAGTCAGCCAACTGGACATCAACAGATAGAGCACCTTCCAATCCCAGAGGAGGCCGGATTGGTATTCTGTGGCCAGTTTTCACCTCAGAACCAAATCAATGGCCCCAGGAGCCATGGCATAAGCTGAGAAGTGGCCATGCAGTTTCAGGAATTATAAAGCTTCAAGGTAGGATTCTGGAGTTTGTCCTAAAAATGTGGTTTCACATACCCAAGCACACAGCTTTCAGAAGCATTCCAAAATCACACGGCAAGAAGGTCTGCTGTGACCTAGTGCTTGCTTGTCTAGCCTGCATCCTAATGTTGGCAAACAACAAATGTGTATTGAAAGTCAGTGAGTGATTCCTTACAGAAGTGATTGCTTTTTTTCCTTCTGCAGAGACTTCAATGTAACTATTTAATTAAAAAATACATCTTGGATGGAAGTTTTTTTTTTTTTTTCCTTTTATCCACTAAAGTAACTGAGACACCGAAACTGTTCCTCAACTGAGGTTGCTTTTTTGTTTGTTTGTTTGTTTGATTGTTTGTTTTGTTTTTTCGAGACAGGGTTTCTCTGTGTAGCTTTGGAGCCTATCCTGGCACTGGCTCTGGATACCAGGCTGGCCTCAAACTCACAGAGATCTGCCTGCCTCTGTCTCCTGAGTGCTGGGATTAAATGCATGCACCACCAATGCCTGGCTCTGAGGTTGCTTTTATAGTACTATAAAAAATTCTAGTTTTAAAGTCAGCATTTGGAAACTTGGGCAGTTTAACGTGTACCAGATAGTTTGGGTAATTTTGTACTTAACTCCCCATCTATTTAGTCTTATCTGATAGTTGGTTTGAGTGTTCCATAAAATAGATTTTCATCAAGGTTTTAATTGAACTTTTTCTGAAGACTAAATTATCTGAACCATTGTCTTCAAAGTTTTTTATTATCTTATGTGTATAAGTGCATATATATGAAGTACCCACAGAGGCTAGAGAGGCATTAGAGCCCCACAACTGGTGTTAAAGAAGATTGTGAGCCTCCATGTGGCTGCTAGGAATTGAACGTGTGTCCTTTGGAAGATTAGTCAGTACTCTAGCCACTAAGCCAACTTCTGTCCTTTTCTTTTAACATACAATGTCCATATATGCTCCAGATATTGTGTAACTAAGATTCATGTAAATTCCCTGGGGTTATCCTGGTTAGATTAAAATGACTCCTATAATATACATTATTCAAAAAATATTTAATTGCCTAATCTGTGATTATTGGTGCATATGGTACAATCTTATGGTATATTGTTTAAATTTTCAGATGTCACATTTTCTAACTTTGTGAAGAGTTGCTATAGTGGTGACCTGGATGTCTGCATCCTGCCTAATGAGTATAGCACTGGAATCATGTACCCAATAACAGCAGAGAGAACCAGGATGCTAAGGATGAAGGACAAAAACAAGTTCTACTTTCCTCCATCACAGCCCAGGTACCACTTTCAGTATTGACAATATACTATATTTATGAAGCAGTTTTCAACTCTTTAAATCCCTAAAACATTAAAAACTATAGCATCATCACACAAATCGAAATAAATCCCTGTAGAAATGGCTGGCACCTTGATTTATCAGTCTCAACATTTTTTCCCCCCCCCCCCCCGGTATTCTTATCCTTTCACATAGGAGTTTAAGTATTTTGCTCACAAACAACAGATACTGGTTACTGATTTCTGCCTTCTTGAGTCTTTTTTTTTTCTTAAAAAAGAAGGGTCAGAAGTGATTTTATAACAGTTTTATTGTTATTGTTCTATTTTTCTTGTTTTTTCTTAGAGATATTTTAAAAATAGCTGGATTCAAATCAACCTCATTCTTTTCTCTATCATGAAGCACAAAGTCCACAGTTTCAGATGGAGACTCAGGGAACCATTGAGCAGGATGAAGATATGGGAGGAGTCTGTCCCTACTGCTAGGAACTCCTAAGCTAAACAATGAGGCATAGACCAGGTGTAACTGCTCTGGGACATATGACCAGAGAGTTTTATTCAAGGATCTGAAAAATAAAAAAAAAAAAAAACCATGAGCTATTCTTTTCCACATACTGCTTTAGGGAGACAATGGATAGTCTAAATAAACCAGGAGGTAGGTTCATGTATTTGACTTAACATGGTTTCCTTTTTAATGCCCATCCCTGAGCCATTGTAGGTGGCTACCTCAGTACAGTTAGGCACACCATTTGTGCTGTGTTATTATTTGTCAGTTATCTCTTACCAGTTGAATGAAAGCTACACATCTTGGTCTATTTGTTTCCATACCAAAATACCATAAACTGGATGATTTATAATGACCAAAGATTTAGTTCTTATAGTTTTGGAGTCTGGGAGTATAAAAATCAAAGCACTTCATGACTGGTGTTGGGTGTGGGCTACTGAACAGGACATCTTGACTTGCCACAAATTCAGCACTATCATTGTCCTTTCTTTCTGCTCCCTATCATGAGATGAGAGTTGGTTTTTCCTTTTCTCCACAGCAAAGACTTAGAGGGAACCATTTGCCTTGAATCTGACTGGGAAAGTGCTAGAAAATACCTCTTTACAGATCTGGATGGGAGAACCTTGGGTCTGCCTCCACCAGTTTCTGTGTTTCCAAAGAGGGAGCCAGAATGGACTGGATCATTCTTCAACACAGGTTGGTTATGTCTGACCATGATGCCTATGGCAAATGCAGCAGGCATGCAAAAGAGCTTGTGGCTCTGTTGTTCTGTGAGAACAAAAATATATTGGACAGGATCCAAAGTCTCAGATTGGAATCTGTACTGATGTCCTACAAAATCACATATATAACAGGGACACTTAGTCATTAAAGATACTGTGACATTACTACTGTGACCTCTATGGATGCCTGTGTCTATGTCAAATGTACATATTATCATCATCACTCTGAGCACAAGGTAGAGAATAAACTCTAATAAACATCTTAGCCTTGTGCAGCATTCATGTCACCAGCCACGTATGTATCCATCTTTCTTTTCTGTTAGGACTTGAAAGCTCATTTGGGAGAGGGTGGTATAGAAGGCACCGTGAGACTCATCTCCCTGTTCTCCATATGTCTCTTAAACTGTGTTGTGCTCACAACTTCTATTTTCTTTTCTTGCTCATACAACATTAGCAGTCTTGCAGAGCAATTTTTTAAAAAAATCTGGTTCCTAGAGAGATTTCTGTTTCTACCACCAGGGACGTGATTGCCCATTTGAACTGAGTTTGTAAGTGTTGCAGGAAAACCTGAAGAAGTTTTCCCACTTTCCCTCTGCTTCATTCTTTTTAGATTCTTTTCCTAGTATTTATCATCTTTAATTTTTATCAATTACATTTGTTCTTTTATAATTCCTTACATTTATGCAATTCATCCTAATTGCTCTCACTCCTTTTTATTTTCTTTCCACCCCCATTGTCTCCTTCTTCCTTGACATTTTGAGTTCTGAAGGTGTGGTTCACCCAGGGCTAAGTGCTCAGACCATTTTCCTTATTCCAAGAGGAATATGATCAAATTTCTAGTCAGTGCTACCTATGAGTCATGATTTCTATTCCTATCTCAGACCTGACCTTGAAATTTGGTCAAAAATATCCAATGGACTCTATTAAGAAGTATGGGCACGTCAGATGCACATGCCCACTGTCAAATTCCATACTCTGCCCCAATCTGATACCTATTACCTGTGTTTGCCTTCATCAACTGTATGAAAAGATAGAGCATGCTCCTTGTTCCTTTTTTTTTTCCCAAGCTTTCACATTTCCCATCTTCCTTATCTGCAGTTTCTGTTATATAGACATCACCATCTCTCACCTGGGGGCTGAATGCCCTCCCTGTTGATGTTTTCTTCCATTTCTGTATTCTGCACTCTGCTTACTTAATAGCCAAGACAATCTTTTAAGTTTTCCAATGGCTTTCTCCCACTCAGAAGGATGTCCAAACCATAATCTTACCAGATTTATTTTTGGATCATGGATGTTTTCTCCCAACTCCTGTGACCCTCACTTACCATATCTAACATAGTCTTATTTTTCTTTTAGCATGGGACCTTTGCACAGAGTATTTCCTTTGTCTGGATATCTTATTAGTAGCTGTGTTAGGGATATACTTAGTATCCCTAAGTGTTCTTTGGGAAACCATCCCTGATCCCGCATCTAACAATCATATGTGTGAAGCCAGTTCTATCATTGGTAGAGTGCTTGCTTCCCATGCAAGAATCCATGATTTCAATCCCTAGGCCAAGTGTGGACCACAGAATTTGTGCATGTAGGTACATACTAGTAACCCAAATCTCCAAGGTCATCTTCAGAGTGTGTTCAAGGCTTGAGATAAACAAGACCTTGTGTTTATAATAATAAATAATTTGTGTTTATTATTTTCTAAAGCCAGTGCACCAGCTTTATTGTTTTTAGAGGTCTACCACCTGGCATTATAATATAAATGTAATTACTTAGTTGTTTATTTGCCATTTGACCCTTTAGAGCACAAAGGACTGCTCACTGAAATATATTTGGGAGGATGCTCAACAAATATTGCTTGACTAGCTCTATCAGTGGATGCATTATGAAATCTTAGAAAGAATATTAATGAGTTTACCCTAAATTGTTCAAAAGCATCAAATTATTGATTTAATTATATATATATATATATATATATATATATATATATATAATATGAGTATATATTTTATGCATATCATACACACACACACAGTTCAAAGCTTTTGCTTGTGTGTTTTCTTTTGTTTTCTGTAGAGATAGGATTTTGTTTTATAAACAGGCTAGCCTGGAATTTGCTGTGTAGTTCAAGAATTCATCATTCTTGCTATATAGTTCATGTTTGCCTTGAGCTTTCAATCCTCCTGTCTCAGCCTCCTGTATCCTGGTATAGGCAGACATCATTACAACAAACTTAGATATATTTGTATTTGCTTATATTTTTTTTCTTTCTGAGCTATTGCTGAAATTTAACATTTGGCATTTGGAATTATTTATACACATGATCATAAAATTTCATATTTGAAAATATATTTTATATGCATCTTATGTTTTTCCATATGCTAAAGTCTTAGCATTACAACTGAGTGACAATATATGGGATCTGCAGGACAGCTTTTAAAGTTATGTATATGATGAGTGAATATAAAAACAGGAAATGTTTACTTTGATATATTGTTCACATATGTCAATCAAATGCTTTATATATATATTCTTAAGAATATTTTTTGACAAGCTTTTAGGAGGTTGCTTACCAGGTGTTGTAATACATTATTCAGGTATAAATATGTTCTGTGGTATTGGTTACATATAAAAGCTGAGGAAGTATTCCCTTTGATATATTGCTTACAGAATAACAAAATATAACCAGTTAATCCATATATTAACTGGAGAGAGAGAGAGAGAGAGAGAGACAGAGAGAGAGACAGAGAGACAGAGAGAGACAGAGACAGAGAGACAGAGACAGAGAGACAGAGACAGACAGAGAAGCAAGAACTGATATGTGATTAGTAAAGGTAAGAAACAAAGAGAACTGAGGATTTGGAGAAGTATAAAGTAGAAAAAGTCACATTGAGGAGTTGAACAGTAGTGTGCCTTCACCTCCCTCTACTTCTGGACTGTTGAAGCAATGTGACCTGCTACTTCAAGCTCCTCCTCGTTTGATTTCGATTCCAGGATGGACTGTACCTCAAACTGTGATCTAAAGTAAACCTCTGTCCCTTGATTTGCTCTATCAAGGGGTCTCATTACAGCAACTGGAAAAGCGCCTAAGGCAGATATGCAGACCTAATTCCTTCTATGTCTAGATTCACTCAAATTTTTCTACAGTAAGATTTTCTATTGGTTTATTAAAAAAAATCACTACCACCTGACATTTATGTTATGGCCAAAACATCCTTGTACTTTAAAACAAGCCTATGGGTAATTGTGGGCCTTCTATGATTTTGGCCAGGCTTACGTTTATTTTTAATTAATAGTATGGGTGGTGGTCCACAGTGCTAGACACACAGATTGAAATTCTGTGTGTAAAAAAGGTAAAGGCTTGAATATAATGTCTAATTTTGGGTTGACTTAGAAATACACTCTAGACAAAGCAAACTGCCAAAAACATCAGTAGGGAAGTGAGATTAGGAAGAAATAATGACAATAAAGATGGGCTGTCAAACTGTCACCACTGTGGAATTTGGAGCATGACTCTAATGGGACTCTTAGAGACCATAAACCCAAATGACCACAACCATGCCTGAGGAGCTAATGTAAATGTTATATCCCCACTCCTCCTTGGACTGAGAGATGATTGGAGAAAGGTAACTCTCCAGCCTGTCAGCTTTCCCTGAACACAGGTTGTATGTGCTCTTTCATATGGTCAGAAAATATTTCTCAAATGGATGTCCTAGGTCCTGTCAATAGTTCTCTTTGGTTGGAGAAGATGATTACCAATGGCATATGTTGTGTTATTGTGAGCACTCTTACCAGTAGTCACTACAATGTCAATCAGATGCTTCATGTTTAAATTATAAGAACGTTCTTTTGATGAGCTTTTAGGAGATTACTCAACATGTGGTACAATACATTATTCAGGTCTAAATACCTTCTTGCTACTGGTGGGTGTGTGGTTCTGTTAACTTTTCCTCAGCTCATTGCCCTGCATGCAACATGATTTGGTGGTATATAACAAACATAACACCATTTGCTATCGAAGTGTGAAAGCCAGTCTGTATAAATGGCTGAGAGCAGACCCAGAGGTGTGTAAGACTGACTGACTCCTCACGTTCAAACACTGCCTAAAATGCTCAATAAAGTTGGTACAGGCACCAAGATTCACACAGTGAAATCTGCTATCTAGTGCTCTAAAAACAGTTTAAGAGTCCCTTTGCAAAGAAGACAACACATAGTAAATGGTGCCTTGACTTAAAAAATATTCTTCCATCATGCAAGACCTTTGTATTTTAAAAAATCCGTGTTTTAAAATACCACTTTCTATTTCCCATCACCAAGCTAGCAGACAAGAGAAGCACAGATTTATTCATGAGATTGACATTCATATGTCCCTCTGTAAGCCCATAAAGGTGACACGGACAAGATGGACGTGGAGACTATGAGAAGCAAATCTCATATTTATTCCCAGTGTCACCATGCTTCCACACCCTCATGTCTCTTCCCAATTTTATTAACAAATCTCTCCAAGTCATGTTGAGTCCATTGCCTCTGAGGTTTATTTTTAATTTGCAATATAACAGGTCTTGTTTGCATAGATTAGTTCAGACACACACACAAAAAAATCCCTCCTCAATCATATATCCAGTTACTTCTCTGAATATTGTCAAGCACTTTGGCATCATGAGCGAAACCCATCCATGTGGATCACCGAGTAGGAACACTATGCCAGTGGGCTTCACTATCTTCGAAGCACAGGGTGTGCAGCCAGGGGAAAAGTGAGCTGTTAATTTTGCTTTATACTTATCTATAAGTTTTCATTTGCTGCCAACTTTGAAAATTACATGGCAATAAGAGCAAGGCAGCTAATGCCAAGCATGGGATCCCCTGAGAACTATTTACATTTTATTTTAATAAGGATTTCTGTAGTTAAGGAGACATCTATTGATACAAAAAATAAGAGAATCATTCAATAAAACAAAATCTTGAAATTAACTTAGGTAGGATAGAAACACCAGGCCTTTCCATTGGGCTTCTTACTAATTTCCTGTCTATTTCTAGATAACAATAAACAGTATTACCTCACAGACTAGTTCACAGATATGGAAGACCGGTGATGTAATGAGAAGACTGAAGACTTCAGAGCTCTAGGTTGGTAGCAGTTCAGAATTCCTTAGCTAAATGTAGTAGGAGGAAAGTAAGGTTTAAGCTAGCATAATGCAAATCCCCTTTGCATGTGAATTATAGCATTTGG